GCGTGTATTTGCCATCATTTCAAGTTTGTTTAACTGACTCAGAATTAGGACGGACACTTGGGTTTTTAGAAGACCACAGAAGCCCTTAATGTGTGGCTGAAGTTGAGTAGCTGACTTTGAAGCCTGTTTATAAGTTTTATGAAAATAGCATTGACTCTAGTCCTTGTTATTCCCCCTAAATGAACAGCAAAGCCCTGAGACCCTGACAGGTGCCTCCTCCAGGAACATGAGCTGCCTGGCTTCTCCCTGCCCTGAGGATCCGTCACCTGTGGCCCTTTTACACTCTAATGTGCTCTATTTTCATATTTTAAACAAACAAATCAGATTATCCTGTAGCCCGCTCCCTTTCGCAGTGTGATCTGCCCCTGTTGTTCCCGTAGAGCTGCAGGCTTTTCTTCTGGAAAAGGCCATTCTTTGTCGGCAGTCCCCACAGATCTCTGGGAGAGTCGGCATGGGTGGGGCCCGCTGCCAGCCCTGTCACCTGGCGTCTAGACACGGGTCTCGCTGGGAGAGCTGCCCTTCAGTCACGAGGCCGGCAGAGGTGAGGGGCACGTCTGCAGAGCACGTAGCGTGGCTGTTCAAGTGGGACTTTGTTTTAGGTTTTTGACCCAATCTTGGGCATTCCATGCTTTGATGATCTTGGGCTTTTCTCAGGAATAAAGTAAAAGCTGTATTTGTAGGTGTGTGTCAAATGTCAGACTGTAAGGCTTTCCAGTGAAGACACCACAGCTTAGAAGAAAGGTCCCTGCTGGTGCTTACTCAGTAGTTGTCACACTCAGAGAGGCCCGCGTCCATTCTGGGGGGTGAACAGCTCTTGACCTAATAATATTTTAGAATATGAGATCAGGGACAGCTGTCAGTATAAACTGTCATTTTCCTTTCATCTGATGCATTTTAACTTTTTGGAAAGTGGAATATTACTCGGTCACTCTTCAGTTTTTTAACTGATTTTTATTAGGTAATAAAAAGAATTTCTAGCCGTATTGCTTGCTCTGATTAGCCCTAGAAAGATCACGTGAACCCTTTAGTTAACTATGAGCAAGCTGAAAAGTAGGGTCGTTTGAAAAGCAAATGTAACTTGCCTTCTGTTTTGATAGCATTGCTGAGACACGGTGGGTTAGCAGTCTCTTTGCTGTGTGAAGGAGGAGAAAGGGCAGGTCTGGCGCCATCCCCTGTCCTCGCAGGGACTCTCTGGTCAGACCCCCTGGACTCCTTTCTTCCTCTGTCACCTCCAGCACCAGGATCGCCCTCTGCCTGCTCCTAGTGTGGGCGTCATGCGGGGTCAGACTTTGACCTCCGCTCCTTTCATGATTCCCCACCAGCGCATCCTCGTCTGCGTGGGCCTGAGCCCTGGAGCCCCTCGTCCCGCCCAGGCCCCCTCCCCCTCGCCCAGGCCCCCTCCCCCCCAGACCCCTCCCTCCCAGAACCCCCCTCAGATCCCTCCCCCTGCTCAGACCCCGCCCCCAAGCCAGGCCCCGCCCCCTGCCCAGGGCCCTCGCAGTCACAGCCCCCCAGGAAGGCCCCGGAGCACCTTGAACTTTTGTCAAGGAGGATCTGCCCCCGGTGCTCTGACACTGCTGGTTCCGCCTGCTCCCTCGTGGAGGGCGGGGACAGGAGGAAGGAGAAAAGGGCTGAGAGACTGTGGTGGGGACGGGGACACTCGAGGGGGCCGTGCCGGGGGCTCTGCTGGGGAAGGGCAGGGTGGAGGTGAGACTGCGGGGCTGACAGTTTTGTGTCTAAAAGGCAAAGGAGATGCACATCTCAACAAACCAAGAAACAAAGGAGTGTCGTTTTTTATTGTGGCAGAAACCAGACAATGTGTCATCACACATAATAGTGTCATATGGGTATACATGTATCAGGTATGTGTATAGAGAGAGAACTTTGGAAGATATACTTGTACATTCTGCATCTTGAGAAACTTGATGACCTTTCAGTTACTGTGCCGTGTTGAGAACAGTTGGAAGACCCCATGGTTGAAGTAATTTCCTTAGGGAAATACTTGAGATGTATGTTAGCTCCTGCCCAAGCGTGGGCCCGGTGCCAGCGTGCACCAGGGCTGGCTCCAGGCTGGAAAGCACCCAGGGCTGCAGGCATCCTGGCCTCACACAGACACAGAGACAGAGTGCCTTGAATCCGGATGGATCACAGCCCCACAGTGTCCAGGTTTGCTCCTTGGACAGTAAGGTTACACCAAGAACAGAGCGGCTTCCAGGCAAAGGAGAGAAGACAGGGGCAGAGGGAGAAGGCCCGTGATCGCTAAACTCGAGGTTGGTCAGCGTGTCGCAGTCCCCGCCTGGGGCCTCACTTCTGGCCCATGGATGGACCCAAGGAGGCCCTCTCCCCTCTCTGGGTCTCAGTTCTGTCCTCCCCAACGTGGGTGAGAGTGCCTGCTGCACAGGATTGCCAGGAGGCTGAAAAATAAAGTCCATGCAGTCGACGGTGGCACGCGGTCATTGATCATGGCCACAAAATCTGCAGGACACAGAGGCTCCCTCGGCCCAGGGTGGTCAGAGCCTGGAGATCCGGGTCCCTGAGACCCATGCTTGTTCGGGAGTCTCAGCCACGTCTCGGGGGTGCTGCGGTGCTGTCTGAGTGTTGCGGCAGGGGGACGACGTGATTGGATTTTGGGGCATGGGGTCACTCTGACTGTGGTGTGAGGATGGAGAGCAGGAGAGAGCTGGGCAGAAAGCACGGTGGTCTCTTCCCAGCCCCGTGTTCACTTCGCTCCTCGATTAGGCCGTAAGAGACGCCAACAAGATCCTATGCACTGATACAAAACTATCAAAAGAAAAAATTGCTACCTGGTCAAAAAGCATAAGAACAACTGCATTCATCCTTCTGGAAACAGCCCACAATAATACAATCATTAATATAAACAAAAATAGAGTTTGAAGCTCATTGTCAGGCATGGCTGAAGGGTGGATTTTATATTCCAGTATAATGTAAAAAAGCCCCTAAAGCTTCTGTCCTCATTCTCATTCTCTCCTCAGTCAAACCATTACACTCTTTTTTAAAACTGTGTTTGTTTATCTTTGGCCGTGCCAGGTCCTCGCTGCTGCGCGCGGGCTTTCTCCGGGTGTGGAGACGGGTGCTGCAGGGCTTGGGCTCCAGCAGCTGCGGTGCACCAGTAGCTGTCCCACGGCGCGTGGCATCCCCCCGCACCAGGGATCGAACCCACGAACCCTGCGTTGGCTGGAAGAGTCTTAACTACTGCACCACCAGGGAAGGCCCCCTTATTCTCTCTCTCTTTTTTTTTCCTTATTCTCTTTTAAATAAAGGTTCTTAGCCTGGGGTTCATCCATGGACAGGCTTCAGGCAACATGTGGACCCCCCCTGAAACTAGCGGCACATGATAAGCACTTTTTTCCACGTGGGGAGTGACCACACAGTATTCACCAGATGCTCCAGTGAATCGAGAATGCCAGAAAAAGGCCAAGAACCAGGGACTGTGTCTCCGTGGAAAGAAGACTGGAGTTGCACTGACGGGATTGTTACTGGACACGAACTGACTCGGCTGCCCAGACCGCGGCTCTTCCCCGCCCCAGCACCTCAGGACGTGGGCCGTGCATCCCGCTCCTCCACCCCAGGCCGAGCCCTGGACCACCCCCCCCCCCCAATGCAACTCCCTCCCTTACCTCCCTCCTGCTCCAGCCTCAACCCCAGAGTCATCGTCTCTTTATTTTTCACCCTGCATCCACATCGCAGGGCAGTGACCCATGTCCTCAAGTGGACTGGGGCCCTGACACCACCCCGGTCCAGTCCCCAAAATCCTTCCCTGTGTGTCTCAGCAGCCTGGACCCTGCTTCTCTGCTTTGCCCGGACCCCTCTTCAGTCAAATCTTGGCATCAGCTGAAGCGAACCTCATAACCCTCCAGGAGCCCCATCTACCTTGAACAAAACCTAAAGTCCTCAGCCACCCTCTGTGGCTTCACGGAGCTGATGTGATGTGATGTGATGTGACCCCGATCGTGTGCGGGCCGCCTGCCTGGAAGGTTCTTCCTGCGGGTTCCTCTGTGACCGCCTCTCACACGACCCACTCCAGAACCCACTCTGCTGCACTGTTTTCCTTCTGTGCTACATGTATTATATACTCACTGCATTTTGTCTGTCCCCAGGTGTAATGGAAGCTGGTAAGAGCAGGGAGTTGTTTGACCTGTTTTCTTTCACTGCCTCATCTGAAGGACCTACACAGCTCTTAACCTAGAGCAGAAACCTGGGCATCTTCCCTGAATGAATTTTATTTTGAGAATTCATTCAGCATCTTCCTGCCCCATCCCTTGTGCTCTGCTCACTGTCATTCCCCATGGATTGTATCTGTCATCACGTGGGATTGTTCGAATGGATCCTGTTTCTCTTCTAGTTCACCTCTTTACTTAAAATAGTAGTTGATACAGTGTTCTTTATTGAACCTTGTCATTCCAGAGTTCCCCCAGAGGAACCTGAACTGCTACTTGGCAACTGAAAGAGTTCCCCTCCGTATGCTTCTTACGGGTTCTTCAAATTCAGTGCTATCCTCAGTGGCTTAATAAAGAAATGCCTTTAAGGTCACCGTAACTTACTCAGATTACCATAGCACAATGTTGAAAAGCGCCGTGCTGGTTCCGTATTTCAGTTCCTGCGGCCGTGGCACTGTTCAGAGTGTAAGGGCACCTCACAGGTGTACTGGTCGAACTACTTCAGTTAGCAGGCGTTTTACGCTTTATCACATGCTTGTGCATCTGTGCTGGGAACAGAGCAGATATTTTTATAAGGTGAATCGACAGCTGCTAATATGTCTGTTCTGTAAGTCTGGAATTTTTAACACTAGTCATCGCTACAGTAGGAAACGTACAGTAGGCCCAATACTGAAAGGCTGGGCTTTTCTCTGCCTGAGCTGTTTGGAATGACTGTAAGAGACTTGGGGTCTGAGGCCATTTTGACACCAGTTCAGGTGGTAAAGCTCCTTCCTCAAGCGTGCTAATTTTTAATATTTTTCTATTTGTCTTACACCGTTTCAGGCTTTACAAGAAGAACTGGAAAACCGCTCGAAACAAGTGCGATCCATAGAGAAGAAGCTACAGCACAAGGAACTGGAGTCACAGGAGCAGGTACTTGCCCACATGGCCGGTTCGCTTGTTGACTTTCTCCAGGTCCAGGGGCTTGGGGACGGCGGCCGTCCTGTGTCCACTGGGATGCAGTGGCCTTGAGTGGCAGAATGCTCGGGCCCTGCAGCACGTGGACAGCCACGGGGTCTGTCACCCACAGCCTGCGGTGGAAGCCCTGCGCCGGCTCCGCTCCCTCATTCCCTCGTCTCTGTGTCCTGTGCTTTTTCATCCTAAACCAGCTTGAGGGCGGCCACAGTTCCCAGCATCCTGAGCAGACCTGGCGACCCAGAGGCAGAGGGGACTGCTCATGTCTGGGGGTCCTGCTCTGAGCAGTGGGGGCGCCTTTCCTAGGAGCAGCCGCCCCCCACCCCCGCGCCCACGGCAAGACCATCCTTTTCATCTCATTGGCCAGAACAGGTCACATGCTCAGCTGAGAACATCCAATCCCTGGTGAGAGGACAGAGGGGCACAAACAGGCCTGGACCAATCAGGGCCCTCCTGGCGGGGATGGCCTCACAGGAGGGAGGGCAACCTGGACCCGGCGGAGGGGAGGCGCGTGTTGGGGGTGTAGCTGACAGGATCTGCTTGTTAGGATAAAGGGACACCATCGTACTTAAAGAGACATGAATCACGCCTTCTTTTGAATTTTAATTTTCTCCTTCTTTCTTCCGTTATGTTCATGAAACAGACCTAATATAACTAGGATGATTCAGCTATGACAATAGCTAATGACCTATTTTATTTTCAAATGAAAGTGTCTTTTTCATCCAAGTCTTTTAAATTTTACTAAATTTAAACTAAAAAGTCCACAGAGTATCAATACATATCACGAGTCTTAATGAAACTATTTATAAATGCATCGCCCTGGGTCTTAACCTGCAGCACTGCTGATGTTCTTCTCAGCAATGCCCACCTGTGGCACAGAACCCGCCGTGGGTGTGGGCAGACACTTATGTGCTGCTGTTCCCGTAGTCCGTTCAGCACAGGAATGTCGGGTCGGTCATCTTGACCCTGTGAAGAGCAGCCCTGACCTAAGGCGAATGGGGAGACTTGCATCACCTCTGGAGTTGTTGGCAAACAGGACCCCCAGGTCGTGTGCTCAGTCATGTCCGACTCTTGCTGCCCCACGGACTGTCCTCTGGCTCCTCTGTCCATGGGATTTCCCAGGCGAGAATCCTGGAGTGTGTAGCCATTTCCTTCTCCAGGGCATCTTCCCCACCCTGCAGTCGGACACTCGTCTCCTGCACTGGCAGGTGGATTGTTTACCACTGAGCCACCAGGGGAGCCTGACCCCGAGGTAGGGGACTGCACAAAGTGGCAGGTGTGAATGTCTGGTTGATGCTGCATAGTGGTATTAGTACTTACTGAATGGACTTGGCCTCCCAGAATGCCCTCCCCTTGTCTAATATTCACCCTGCATCATATGTGTATTGTGGACGTGTCATGGACGTCTGTGTTATGTCTGTGTAGGATATGTCTTGTATGGAGTCCATGCTGGACAGGCAATAGGATCACAAAATATGATTCTAGGATGAAAAATGAGTTGTAACTGTATTTACCCAAGGCCTACAAGATGAGAGACACTGCACAAGAAACGTTACACGAATTAGTTCATTTATGCTGATAATCACTACACTCCCGTTTCCCAGCGGTGCACTGCAGCTCACAGAGGCTCAGTGACTTGCCCAAGGTCACCCAGCCGCAAAATAGTATGGGGTCGGGGGATGGGGTCACACCCTGGTTGATCTGAATTCCACACCTTTGCTCCTGTCATGACAGTTTTAAGTTACAGCATTTCTAGTTTAAAAATCGACATAGCAATGACAGGGAAAGTTTATTAAGGATGGCAGGGAAAAAAAACCACCACCCCAGACACCTGGAACCGGGGAGTGGTTAACTCCCTGTGGTCGGAGAGCAGAGCCAACGTGGCCGCAGTTGAAAACACCACCCGTGGGGCAGCAGCATGGCCTTCTGGGGGCTGGCCCAGGTCCCGCTGTCACTGAGGTCAGCTGGCCCCCACCCCGGCCGGCTGGGATGTCTGGAACTAGGAGAAGATGACAAGCTTCTTAAGAGCAGGAAGCGTGTTCCCTGAAGGACCGGGCCTCCTCCAGTTTGTGATAAAATATGACTCAAGGTAAAACTCTGTTGACATCACTCTAATTCATGGCAGGACTTCACACAGAAAACCCCATAATAGATGGAGAGTAGGGAAATTAAGAAATCCCAGATGAACAATAGGGAAGGGTTCAGGAACCACTTCAGTCTTATTTTATTGACTTCTTTTTGATCATCAAAGTTGCTTTCATCTTCGTAGTGACAATAGGCTTCTAGACTGTTTCTTCCACTAATTCCTGATATCTTCTGTTAGGCTCCAGTTTACCAAAGAAACGTCAGGAAATACCCCTGGGTAAAGCTGAATACTTCATAATCTTTGCAGCCACGAAATGCTGGGTTCTTTCCACAGGATCCTAGGATGTAGCTTAGTGGCTGTTTCAGTAGAACTGAAGAGCAAATTGCAGTGCTTCTTCAGTTCCTCTGTGTTTAATCTGATTTAACTTCTGTTTTATCTGAATCTGACCTTTCCTTTCGTGACACTAATAGCAGTAGTCAAAAATAATTAGAAGTGTCGTCACTTACAGTCTTCAGGGTCTCGTGATGTGTGTGCTCACTGGGGGTGTTTAAGGGTATTTAAAGTGTCAAAATTGTTTGCGATTTCCTGTTTTGCATCTGTCAAAGCAATTGCAAAATAACAGTAGTCAACCTGACATCAGCCAATCAACCAAAATGTGTGCAGAACAGCCTCTTGAAACTTCTCTTTTCAACCAAATATTATTATCCTGGCACTAGCTGCATAAAGAATCAAGACTGAAAGTGGCAGAGTCACAAACGGCAATTTCCTGGGCACCCTTTTTATCTTGCTTTAGAAAAATTTTAAGCTGTTTCTGTTTTTCATTTAAGAAAAATTCCTGTGTCTTAATTCTATAAAAACAAAAAAGCTGAAAGAGGCATTCTAAAAGGTGTGTTTTTACTTAAACACGGAAAGCTGCTTCTCCTTGGGTCTCGATGGCTGGCACCCCAGCCGCCCCCACCCGCTCGCCGGCATCGGCCTCTACTCCAGCTCCTCCCCCTCGGCAGGTCGGTCCCCGAGTGCCCGGGAACCCGTGGCTGCCCCTTAAGTGGCATCAGGATAACACCAGTGTAACTAGAAACGACCAGTTTCCTCTCTGAGCCAGGCTTACAGAGACAGGTTGCTGTTGCTGTTGCTTAGTTGCTAAGTTGTGTCCGACTCTTTGCAACCCCATGGACTGTAACCAGCCAGGCTCCTCTGTCCATGGAATTTCCCAGGCAAGAATACTGGAGTGGACAGAGACATATCTTTCCTTTAACGCATAAATAGGGAAGTAACAAGCTGGAATCAAGATTTCCAGTAGAAATAGCAACAGCCTTAGATATGCAGATGATACCACTTTAACGGCAGAAAGCGAAGAGGAACTGCAAAGCTTCTTGATGAAAGTGAGAGAGGAGAGTGAAAAAGCTGGCTTAAAACTCAGCATTCAAAAAACTAAGATCATGGCATCCAGTCCATCACTTCATGGCAAATAGATTGTGAGCAAAGTGGAAACAGTGACAGACTATTTTCTTGGGCTGCAAAATCACTTTGGACAGTGACTACAGCTAGGAAATTAAAAGATGCCTGCTACTTGGAAGAAAAACTATGACAAATCTATATAGCATATTAAAAAGCAGAGACGTCACTTTGCTGACAAAGTACAAAGGTACTTTGACCACCTGATGCAAAGAGCTGACATATTGGAAAAGACCCTCTTGCTGCGGAAGGTGGAGGGCAAAAGGAGAAGGGGCTGACAGAGGATGAGGTGGTTGGATGCCATCGCCGACTCAGTGGACGTGAATCTGAGTAAACCCCAGGGAGGGTGAAGGACAAGGCTGCCTGGTGTGCTGCCGTCCACGGGGTCACAGAGGGCTGGGCACGACTGAGCGACTGAACAAAAACAGGAAAGTAATTTTAAAAACCATCGTTCCTCTCCACGCCAGGAGTTAGTAATATCTGATTCCTGATAAGATCTGAGCGAGCGTCCCAGAACTCCAGTGGTGGAGGGGAGGCCGGGGCTCTGAGCAGACCTCCTCACTGTGCGAGGAGATCAAGTCCCCGGGCCGCCCGCCCCGGTGCCATCGTGCACCGTGTTGACCGCACTGTGCCTGGGTCTGTGCTGGACGCCACTCAGGCTCAGCCTGTGTGTGAAACCAAGTGTCCTTTTCGGGAGCAGCGCTGTCTCCTTCACAGTGAGACCAGGCGATCTGCAAGCCTCTGCCAAAGTAAGTCAGTATATTATGGAAGAGAAGGGAAGAAAAGAAATAGTCTAAAATTTTACCAGTGTTCTTAACACTGTGCCAAGCCAGGATCTGTTTCTCACAGGGGCACTACACAATGTCAGCCTTGGACCCAATACACAATACAGACAATACCATACGTGTAACAAAGCCACTGCTTTGAACCGGGCATTTTCAGTCTCAAACGTGTGGACAGCTTTGATCACCTCGATCACTCAGTTTCCCAGAAGATTCTTTTAAATAAATCAGTGAGAACTAGTACTTGGAGATCTAATCAATAAGATGCTATGCCGTGCTTTCCACAGAGGATCATCCTTTCTTTCCTGCACGCATCGCTCCTGGGCCGTGCGAGGTGCTGGCCTGCGACGGGAACCGAGAAGCAGCCTGGAGGGCGGGTCCCAGCGCAGGCGAGCAGAGGCGGCATGGGGTGCAGCTCCAGGCTGGGGTTTGAGGGTGCACTTTTCCTCCTGAGGGGCTGCGAGGCTCAGGCCCAGGAGGCGGGAGGGTGCCACCCTGGCCCTGCCCGCTGTCTCCCCGACCGCGAGGGAGGCTCCCCCTGGGCAGGGCCTGGCGCTTGCTCCTCTGCAGGGCCTCCGGAGCCTGCGGCCAGGTCCTCAGCTCAGACCCCAGGCTGCCCCGGAGGCCTCACCGGT